GGTTATACGTGGATTGGGAGAGGGGCGGAGGGTTATACGTGGATTGGGAGAGAGGGTTATACGTGGGGGAGGGTTATACGTGGATTGGGAGAGGGGCGGAGGGTTATACGTGGATTGGGGAGAGGGGCGGAGGGTTATACGTGGATTGGGAGAGGGGCGGAGGGTTATACGTGGATTGGGAGAGGGGCGGAGGGTTATACGTGGATTGGGAGAGGGGCGGAGGGTTATACGTGGATTGGGAGAGGGGCGGAGGGTTATACGTGGTGGAGGGTTATACGTGGATTGGGAGAGGGGCGGAGGGTTATACGTGGATTGGGAGAGGGGGGAGGGTTATACGTGGATTGGGAGAGAAGGGGGAGGGTTATACGTGGATTGGGAGAGAAGGGGGAGGGTTATACGTGGATTGGGAGAGAAGGGGGAGGGTTATACGTGGATTGGGAGAGAAGGGGGAGGGTTATACGTGGATTGGGAGAGAGGGGGAGGGTTATACGTGGATTGGGAGAGAGGGGGAGGGTTATACGTGGATTGGGAGAGAAGGGGGAGGGTTATACGTGGATTGGGAGAGAAGGGGGAGGGTTATACGTGGATTGGGAGAGAAGGGGGAGGGTTATACGTGGATTGGGAGAGAAGGGGGAGGGTTATACGTGGATTGGGAGAGAAGGGGGAGGGTTATACGTGGATTGGGAGAGAGGGGGAGGGTTATACGTGGATTGGGAGAGAGGGGGGAGGGTTATACGTGGATTGGGAGAGAGGGGGGAGGGTTATACGTGGATTGGGAGAGAGGGGGAGGGTTATACGTGGATTGGGAGAGAGGGGGGAGGGTTATACGTGGATTGGAGAGAGGGGGGAGGGTTATACGTGGATTGGGAGAGAGGGGGGAGGGTTATACGTGGATTGGGAGAGAGGGGAGGGTTATACGTGGATTGGGAGAGAAGGGGGAGGGTTATACGTGGAGAGAGGGGGAGGGTTATACGTGGATTGGGAGAGAGGGGGGAGGGTTATACGTGGATTGGGAGAGAGGGGGAGGGTTATACGTGGATTGGGAGAGAGGGGGAGGGTTATACGTGGATTGGGAGAGAGGGGGAGGGTTATACGTGGATTGGGAGAGAAGGGGGAGGGTTATACGTGGATTGGGAGAGAGGGGGGAGGGTTATACGTGGATTGGGAGAGAGGGGGGAGGGTTATACGTGGATTGGGAGAGAGGGGGAGGGTTATACGTGGATTGGGAGAGAGGGGGGAGGGTTATACGTGGATTGGAGAGAGGGGGGAGGGTTATACGTGGATTGGGAGAGAGGGGGGAGGGTTATACGTGGATTGGGAGAGAGGGGGGAGGGTTATACGTGGATTGGGAGAGAGGGGGAGGGTTATACGTGGATTGGGAGAGAGGGGGGAGGGTTATACGTGGATTGGGAGAGAGGGGGAGGGTTATACGTGGATTGGGAGAGAGGGGGAGGGTTATACGTGGATTGGGAGAGAGGGGGGAGGGTTATACGTGGATTGGGAGAGAGGGAGGAGGATTATACGTGGATTGGGAGAGAGGGAGGAGGGTTATACGTGGATTGGGAGAGAGGGGGGAGGGTTATACGTGGATTGGGGGAGGGGGGTTATACGTAGATTGGGAGAGGGGGGGAGGGTTATACGTGGATTGGGAGAGAAGGCGGAGGGTTATACGTGGATTGGGAGAGGGGCGGAGGGTTATACGTGGATTGGGAGAGGGGCGGAGGGTTATACGTGGATTGGGAGAGGGGCGGAGGGTTATACGTGGATTGGGAGAGGGGCGGAGGGTTATACGTGGATTGGGAGAGGGGCGGAGGGTTATACGTGGATTGGGAGAGGGGCGGAGGGTTATACGTTGATTGGGAGAGGGGCGGAGGGTTGTACGTTGATTGGGAGAGGGGCGGAGGGTTATACGTGGATTGGGAGAGAAGGGGGAGGGTTATACGTGGATTGGGAGAGGGGGGAGGGTTATACGTGGATTGGGAGAGGGGGGAGGGTTATACGTGGATTGGGAGAGGGTTATACGTGGATTGGGAGAGGGGGGAGGGTTATACGTGGATTGGGAGAGGGGGGAGAGTTATACGTGGATTGGGAGAGGGGGGAGGGTTACACATGGATTGGGAGAGGGAGGGGGGTGTATCAGTCGGTCCTTTTATCCTCGTCCTTCCGCCTCTCCAACCACTTGGGCTGGACGGTAGAGCAACGGTCTCGCTTCATGCAGGTCGGCGTTTAATCCTTGACCGTCCACAAGTGGCTGGGCACCATTCCTTCCCCCCCGTCCCGTCCCAAATCCTTATCCTAACCCCTTCCTAGCGGCGCTTTCCTATTGATAATTGTCTTGCTTACCCAACCAACACACACTCCTCTCTTTTCCCCATCTTCCTTCCTTCTTTACCCCCTCCCATGACTCCATGCCCCTACCCCTGTGCCCCCTTCTTCCCCCGTCCTATCTCACCCGATGCCCCTTCTACCCTAGTGGCCTCGACGAGGACAGGAAGCAGGCGGCTTGTCGTAGATGCCCCCCATTTGCCTTAAGTAAGTGTTGAGTACAATTACTTAAGTGTTACAGGAAAAGACTCAAGGTCTGTGTCTCCTACTGTTGTCACTTGACGCTCTAAAGCCTCCGAGGATTTTAGTATTCACAACCTTCTCGTTAAACTCTAACGCTGTGGAAGAGAAGATTTGTTTAAGAATTTGTGTGTTTTGTGACACTTTTTTTTCTTTGCTTAAATCTATGATTCGTGTTTTTAAAGTTGTGGGTATCGATAATTCCATCTTATCAAATCCGGCTGTGGTTATGTACCTGGTTTAAATGTTCTAAATTTTTCCATTTGTCAACTAGCTTTGTGTGACGTAAAATACTGACAGGTGTAACCTTCTGAAGCTCGGTAATGATAGAAGATTTCAGCTGAATAGTATTTAAATTGTGAATTCTTGACTGCGAAAAATATCTGGGGATCATAATTAGTTGCGAATTTAAAACCACAAAATTGCCAAACTATTACAAATCAGGCAAGTTGGATACTGGGGTTTATTTCTAGGAACGTTAACAATAAAAGACGAAATGAAAGAATTACTTTGAGCTCTGAGGCGACTCTCGTCAGCACTCAAACAAAAGGCATATTAATAATGGATTCGGTACAATATAACGTGAAACGTGCGATATGAATTATAAGTCTAGATTTAGGAATGACCTGGATAAATTCTGGGTTTAAAAACAGGATTATTGTTGTGGAAAAATTTACCAGGAGAGGAGAGACTTATGGATCAATGATTGTTTAAAGCGTAGGTAAGACGTGTGAGGGGGAAGAGTTTGAGTGGATAATAGATAAGAGCTGCACGTATAGAGCCAATAGATCTTCAGGAGTTCCTTTAGTTCCTTGTTCTTATAATCCCCAGATCTCAAGCATTCAGATTTTGCAATTTCAACACTTCTCACTGCTGTGTAGTTTCATGTATGTTTGTATTGCTGGTATGTTTGTATTGTTGGTATGTTGGTATTGTTGGTATGTTTGTATTGCTGGTATGTTTGTATTGCTGGTATGTTTGTATTGCTGGTATGTTTGTATTGTTGGTATGTTTGTATTGTTGGTATGTTTGTATTGTTGGTATGTTTGTATTGTTGGTATGTTTGTATTGTTGGTATGTTTGTATTGTTGGTATGTTTGTATTGTTGGTATGTTTGTATTGTTGGTATGTTTGTATTGTTGGTATGTTGGTATTGTTGGTATGTTTGTATTGTTGGTATGTTTGTATTGTTGGTATGTTTGTATTGTTGGTATGTTTGTATTGTTGGTATGTTTGTATTGCTTGTATGTTTGTATTGCTGGTATGTTTGTATTGTTGGTATGTTTGTATTGTTGGTATGTTTGTATTGTTGGTATGTTTGTATTGTTGGTATGTTTGTATTGCTGGTATGTTTGTATTGCTGGTATGTTTGTATTGTTGGTATGTTTGTATTGTTGGTATGTTTGTATTGCTGGTATGTTTGTATTGTTGGTATGTTTGTATTGCTGGTATGTTTGTATTGCTGGTATGTTTGTATTGCTGGTATGTTTGTATTGCTGGTATGTTTGTATTGCTGGTATGTTGGTATTGTTGGTATGTTGGTATTGTTGGTATGTTTGTATTGTTGGTATGTTTGTATTGCTGGTATGTTTGTATTGTTGGTATGTTTGTATTGTTGGTATGTTTGTATTGTTGGTATGTTGGTATTGTTGGTATGTTGGTATTGTTGGTATGTTTGTATTGTTGGTATGTTGGTATTGTTGGTATGTTGGTATTGTTGGTATGTTTGTATTGTTGGTATGTTTGTATTGCTGGTATGTTTGTATTGTTGGTATGTTTGTAGATTTGGCCTCTTCCTATTTACATAACATTTTACCACCATCCTCCTCGTGGTCCCCTCGCCATCTCTATTAAAAGTCATTTGTTGTGCATGTTGGTTATTTTTGTGCATTGAACTTTTGATGCAATGCACAAAGTGTCATGGCTCCTGGTCACTGAAGTTGTGCAGTGTTAGGTTTGGTCATTGGACGAATGTTTGGACAATACAGCATCTTGATCTAGGGCACCACCACTACTGGACATAATATACTGGTTATGCTCTGTAATAGGGCGGATGCGCTCGTCCAGAGCAAAGTTTCTGTACGTCCGCAATAAAGCCAAATCTGTAGCAGTTTTCCTCACGTTGTCAGGTTGTTTTGTAATGCCTGTATTTAACCCGTCCTCCTAATATCACGTCGCAATTTGACGTATGCTCAACATTAGGGCAAAAATAGTCTTACTAGAAGCGGCTCGCAAAATTGACACTCCTCCCATTTTTTTTGTTTTTTTGTTGGGGTCTTCTGGAAGGTTAAAATAATGGCACTTTTAGTACGACAGTTTCTTGACGTTGTGGAACCTTAGGAGGGCGAGCTGGTGTTACCATGACTTTATAATTTCTTGTGTTAAGCTATAACTCAGCAACCTTCAAATGTTTGTAATAATCTATAACATTGCAGATTGTGGTGTTGAGGCGCAGACTTGACAGTGTTTCTGTTGCAACACAAAGCTCGGAGGTGCTGGCGAGAGCAGTTTACACCGACTTTCAGCAGGAAGAACAAGAAGTCTGAAGACTTTGCATTAAACTCTGGTCAGTAGCTTGCCACACGAGTGCGCTTTGCTTTGGTAGTATGTTGAGGTCACGTCTGAGAGTATATTACCGATAAAACTTGAATGTTTAAAATGGTTTTGAATGTTTTTCCTTTGTTGGGAACCGGAAGCCAATTAGGCTTATTAGGACTAATTAGGCCATAATTGATCTTCAGGATACAACCCACAACGGTTCTCTAACTCCCAGGTACTAATTTACTGCTTAATGAAGGCCGGGGAATCAGGTGTAAGGAAACATACACGGGTGTGTCTCTCGTCCTGTCTGGGAACTCTGGACTTGTTTTTTTTTTTTTTATTTTTTAAAACTTAAGAGTTTGTGCCACAAAAGGATTATGGTAAATAACTGCTACTGTCATCACAATGTTCTATTTGAGGACAGGAGAGGCTCAGATTCATACGTGTCGAATATAAGAGAACTTTATATTAAAAGTTTATTGGAAGTAGCACCTGTTTTTTTTTGTGTGTAACTAAGAGTGAAATGGTGTGATTGTTGAAATAAGCTTGTCTGCTAGACCAAGCTTTGAATAAATTCAAAACATGTCTCAAGAGTTCTTGTGTAAAATTTCCCATTAAACAATGTATAAACATTTATGAATAAGGCTTTTGATTAGATATGAATACTAAAGCAAATGTAAACTCTGAGGGAATTACAATTATCACAATAAATAAATGCGCCTTGTCGTCTTAATAAGAACGTCGCTTTTGGCCGTTTGCCCGTATGGCCGAATATGGACATAATTTGAAAATGAATTTTTTTTTTTAAATAAATTTGGGATTTTTGTTTTCAACAACAGTAAGTTGAGGGTCCTCTGATAGGTTAGGTGGGCAGGAAATTCTCATAACGTTTCAAAACGTTATGAAAAACGTTAATTGAAAGTCCCTCTTCTAAGCTGTCCGAGGAGGGCCGGATGACTCGAACAGAAAACAGAACAGTACGTCACTTTTGTGAGTCGATTTCATTTCAAATTACGTCCAAATTTGGCCATAGTGCGCATACGAGCCAAAAGTGACGTAATTTTTAGGAGGACGGGTTGCACATTAACCATGATTAGCCCCACTCGCTTTCCAGCCCCTTGTCGTCGTGAGGAGGCTTCCAGCCCCTTGTCGTGGTGAGGAGGCGTGGCTGCCGGTGTGTGATGCTCCATGGGACGGTCCTAGGTCTTTGTGAAGCTCTATGCCTCTCCTGCCGTCCTCACTAATTTTGATAGAAGCTATCTTCTCTTCCTTTTTTCATTTTCTTCCCCCTCTTCTCCTTTATAATTGTCGTTTCCCGCCGACCTTTTGCCGTTCTTGATTATTCTTTCTGACATCTTCTATTTTGACGCCCGGGTGTTCGGGGAGGCGCGCTCTCACCCATAGAACTGTGGTACCCGGCGTTGTGAGCGAGGGGGGACGCTTTTATTGTCAGTCCTCTCCTTCGTTCCGAACCTGATCTCGACGGACTGATGGTTCTTCAGGTGGCGATTGCGGGGTGTATATTCACGATGATTCGTGAATATACCCCTGGGACCGTCTTGTTGGGTGTCCTATCCTCTAATTGTGGCTCCATGGTGGGTATGGGTACTTATTTGAGAATGAGTTTCTTACCTGCTCATTATTTTGCCGATTATTGACCCTTTTTTTCACTTCCCAGGCTCGTGGGGTGGGCGACCAAGCCCTCGGGTTAAACCGTATTTGGAGATATGTTTTTGTTCTTGGTTGTTGTTGTTGTTAAAGATTTAGCTACTCAGGACGAAGTGTCCATGTAGCACGGGCTATGGTGAGCCCGTAATTGAGTTTGCTTATACATGATAACCTTTTTCCTGTGATATTTGGGTCCAAGTTTAAAATGGAGGAGAGGACTTCTCCTTTTTCCCTAGGATGATAAGGTCAGAGTTGAGTAGGGCGACCTGGTGTTCTGGTGCAAACATTTGCTCCAGAGCTTCCTCGCTTGAATAAAGTACAGCGCCGTCGGCATCGTCTCGGATGTCCAATGGAGCAGCATTCGTGATGTCAAAAATTTTCTTAAGTATTTGGGCCCCGGTGAATCTGCAAATCCCGCCTTCAGCATGTATGTTGACACTGGTTTCCTATTTCTCCAGGACCGCAGTGATCACTACTGTCTTCACTATCTGGCGCAGTCCTTGCAGAATCCTTCCTCTCGCCTCTGTCGTGCTTTTACTTTTACCCCTCCTGTAGTTCATGTTCCTCTTCACCATCTCCCTCTTTGTCTGGCTATCTCGCTTACAGGTCTCTTTCCATTTGTCTCTCATATTTCTCCTCGTATTGTTCTTTCCTTATCCCCGTGGAGGGGTCCCCCTTCCGAAGTTTTGTACGGCATTGGCCCGCATTACTAAAGCTTTTACTCCTCCTATGGTTCTGAAACGCCTTTTTCTTGAGCACTTTTCTTTACACTCCCGCTCAGTTTCTAAGGGTCTACGTCCGCGGACTGTGTGGGATACTCTGTTGTTTTTAATGACCGCACTTAAATATGTCGCCTTCCTTCGGAGACTAGCATCTTCATAGCAGAGCTTTATGCTATTCTCGATACTCTCCGTCTCCTGCTTTCTCGTTGTCAATCCTCCTTTGTGATTGTCGTTGACTCTCGTAGTGCCCTCATGGCTCTCGGGTCCTTTAATCCAGTCCATCCCGTTGTCGTAGAGATTCAACAATGGCTGTTTCTTATCTCTAGTAAATTTAAATCCGTGGAGTTTAGCTGGGTTCCCAGCCATGTTGGTGTTTTTTTAGATGAGTGTGTGGATCCTGCCGCTAGAGAGGTTATCTGCTCTTGACCCATTTCCCGTAAAGGTATTACTTTTTGCGACTTTATCCGGTTATTCATTCCTCCATCCTTGCCCGTTGGCAGGGTTATTGGTAACAAACTGCATAATATTAAGTGTTGTGTGTCCACGTGGCCTTCTTCCTGCCACAGTAACCGGCGGAGGGAAACGGCTCTAGCGTGGTTGCGTCTTGGCCATACTTGCTTAACTCACGGTCACTTAATGGAGTGCCGCCCTACTCCTTATTATCCAAATTGCGTTGTCCCTCTTACCATCATGCATATCCTTGTTGAATGTCCTAACTTCCAGGACGAGTGTTTCTTGCTTTCCGACCGCCCCTCGTGGTCGTTTGTCCCTCGCTAGAATTTTTGGTGAATAGGATACTTTTGATATCGTTCATCTTGTGCGTTTCTGTTCTCGTATTGGCATCCTTGATGATATTTAGCGCCCTCTGATTACTCTGCACATTTGATGGTGCTACATGGCCTTCCCGGTTTGGTGCCTTTTGATAATTACTTACATGGAGTTTATTAGGTAGATCTGTCCATATATGTAGTTGGTTGCCACTTGTAAATATAGGAAAATGATTAATGTGTGGTGTGGCCACACATCACCTGCTACCAAATCTGCTAGTAAAAAAACTTTACCACGTGCCTCATAGAAAAGGGAAAAAGAGATTTAGACAGAATCCGTCTTAACTGTTCTCTCTAAGGGGCATGTGCAGCCCAGCCCCACGAACGAATAGATACAGGCGGTGGTGTTGTGAAGACCTTGTCTACTTCAGTTAAACTAACACGAGTGAAGATTATAATAAGTTCATGTCTAACAGTTGTCTTTCCTTTGTTGTCTACTAAAGTTTTTCCTGTGTTGTTGGGGAATTTAATTATCTCTTCCAGTCTGTATTGTTCTGTTTTCCTCCTGACCCCATTACATTCTGAAATCTTGCATTGATTTGCTTTGAATTCAAGTAGCCACTTGTCTACCCGTGATGCAGAACCCATTCCTGCTTTTGTCCTTTCTCGTCGGCATTACCTCACTCGTGTTAGTGTAGAACTTGTACAAAGATTTGCTTGCCAACTCGTGCAGTTAGACAGAAAAGTACGAATTCTTGAATAGTGTTCCTGATAATTACCTGGATTTGTCACTTGGCTCAACATCTATCATTTTATAGTTTCAGTGGATCCAGACTCGTCTCTCAGCACAGCATCGTTTCATACATCGATTAACGCTATGGCAGATTACACACAATCAATGATCTGTATTCGAGAGCTTGATTACTTAGCTGATGTTTTTGCCCCATTGAAAGAAACGCCTCTTGCCCCTCAAACTTCCGCTGCATCAGTGGTCCCAAATAATGGTTTGCTTCTGGAAAGATGTGGCAGATATACACTTCAACTCCAGCGGCGTTTACCAGCGAATGATCCTGTGAAGTGGAATAATGGTGAACCGATGCCATCTTGGAGCAGGGCCGGGAGACAGAAGGCTGAACAGAACTGGTTCGATAATCTGCACCTGTCATTCAACTGGATGGGCTTCAACCAGATCGGGTATAACAGACATGGGAACATGCCAAATGAATATGATTGTTATGGGTACGATGTCCGAGGCTACGACGTTGAGGGTTTCAACTGGTATGGCTTCAACAGATACGGAATTCCGCGCAACAACTACGATAGGAACATGTACGACGTGCATGGCTTTGACTGCTGTGGGTACAACAGAGAAGGTTTCAATTCACTTGGTCACAAGCGTTCCATGTTTGGCGAACTTTGCAGTTTTAATTACAAGCGGCGGTATAACGAGGACCTGAGTATGGAAGCATTGTATAAAAACTTTAAAACCGGTCCTTACACCAAAGACTATTTACGTAAATATAATAAGGAATTTCTCGAAGAACTTGAAAAATCCCAGAAATATATCCACGATCATTCTATGTATAAATATTTTTAGTTACTCTTTATTTTTTTAATTCCAATATACTGGTTTATTGAACATGTATTTTAATGAGCAATTCTCACCAATAAATGTTTAGTTCATTAACTGGAACGATATAAATGTTCCTAAACGTTGACTCGGCGTGAATTATAATGTTTAGAGGACCATACAGGCCTTTAGTATTTTGAAGGGAAAAATAATGCTGGATGGTTATTAACCCTTACACTGCTCCAATTGCCATTTATGATTTTTACCCATTTGATTTGTTAACTACCTTGCCATGCTCACTTTGATGTATTATTCGATAAGTGTGCAGTTTTAGGGGGGGGGGCAAGAATAGTTTAGTCCAGAAGACTAACCTATTATAAGACTTGGCTTCAATAAGACTTTGCTGCAGGGAGCTTTGGCAGTTCGACTTTTATAGGGATCTTGAAGTAAGGTGTGTGGTCAGACAAGGACACACACTACAGCATTACATCTTAGACTGAAATAAAAATTGAGCCATTTAGAGATGAATCTAAACTCGCACTGTATGAAATGCCAAATCATCATATTACAGATAAGATGCATTAAATTTTTGCACTATTAATATTTCGCTTCTAGTGGATAAACGACATGTATGATGAACAAAGTAGAGTATTGTGAAGATTAATAATAAAACTGCAGCTTTCCTATGACCCTGTATTTTCAGTACACCCTTTCCTGTGCCTCAAATATGTATTGGCAAAAAGACCTACCAATAATTTAAAATTAACTGTAAATACGTAGCTTGAAGTGGAACAATCTACTACTAGATGAATCTAATAATCTCCGTTGAGGTCTGGTAAAGAACTTTTTTGCCCTCTGTAATTTTTTTTTTTTTTTGCGCCCTACCGCTCACAGGATGAGTATGGAGTGCACAATAAAATAGCTGCCTCCAGCAGCAACAATAAAAAAATGTATTTATCGATGAGCAGAATTCTCTTTATACATCTTGACTTTTTTTTTGGGGGGGGGGAGGGGAGGTGGCTTCAGGCCTTTCTCCACCTTGAGTACTTCATTGATGGGGCCCCCTCACTGTCTGCCTCGTTGTCGCCGTGAGGGGGCTTGGTGGGCAGCTGCCGGAGTGTGATGCTCAGTGGGTCAGTCCTCTATCCTTTTGCAGCCTTATGCTCCTGCTGCTGCCTTTACCAATTTTGCCAGGCCCCTTTTCCTTTTACTCGTGTTTCATTTTTCTCCCCCCTCTTCCTTTTACTAGTTTCATTTTTCTCCCCTCTCTTCCTTTTACTCGTGTTTCATTTTTCTCCCCCCTCGTAAGAGGGGGGAGAAAACGCTTCCCTTCCACCAGGCTACGAGGGGCCTCGTAGCCTGGTGGAAGGGGCCTCGTAGCCTGGTGGATAGCGCGCAGGACTCGTAATTCTGTGGCGCGGGTTCGAAGCTGTCACGGGCTGCTTCCAGGGGGTGGAGGCCTGGTCGAGGACCGGGCCGCGGGGACACTAAAGCCCCGAAATCATCTCAAGATAACCTCTTCTCCTGTCAAATTGTCATTTACTGCCGACCTTATGCCTGTTTTGATTATTCTTTCGACCTTCTTTTGCTTTGACGCCCGGGTGTTTGAGGAGGCATACTCTTGCACCCGTAGAACTGTAGTACCAAACGTCTCGAGCGAGGGGACCGTTTTATTGTCAATCCTCCTTTCGTCACTGAACCCGCTCTCGACGGACTCACGGTTCTTAAGGTGGCGTTTGTGGGGCGTATACTCACGACGCACCCCTGGGGGGCCCCGGCAAGATCGGCGATAGCTTCTTGTTGGGTGTCCTGCCTCTAATTTTGGCTCCATGGTGGGTGTGGGAGCACATTTGTGAATGAAAGTTTTTCCTCGTTTTCATGGGTCATAATGTTTCCCTTGTATTTTCTCAGGCTCGTGGAGTGGGCGACCATGCCCCCGAGTCGGACTGTGTTGGAAGACCAAGCCCTGTAGCCCCTGCTGCATTGGGCCCCAACGACCTGACTACTCCCCTCAGTTTCCATCCCTCCTCTGCGGTAGGGTCGAGTCCCCAGCCCCCAGTGGTGACCACCTCGTCCCCTGGCACGGCTCCGTCTCTCATTGTGACTACTGCGCCTTTTACCCCCGTGAACTCCGGGGGTTCTCAACGCCGTTCCCGCCACGGCCGCACTAGCACGATCCCTTCCCGTAATACTACATACAATGCCTTGTTTGGTCCTGCTACGTGGCCTAAATACTTTGATCTCCACCATCTGGATTCTACTCCTGACGATTTCTCCCTCCATAAACACCTTGTTCATTCAGTAGATTCCTCTGTTACTTTTAACTCCACCAGTTACGGTACGCATGTCGTCGCTGCTCCTTCTCAGGATGCGGCTACTCGCTTAGCAGCTTTGTCCTGCATTTTAGAGACCCCTGTTAGTCTCCAAGAACGCTAGGTTAAATGCCAGTGTTGGCACTGTTCTCCTCCCACATTATGTTGCAACTGGTGTTCGGGACCTCGAAGATTGCCATGAGGATATTAAACATATCCTCGAAGCCCAAGGCCATTCTGTCCTCCAGGTGGACACGTTTACTCGACCCCCTCGTGGTCATCGCCGTCAGCCCCTTCGAGTTGTGAAAATCACCTTTGATAGTAGGGTCCTTCCACCCTCTATTATTCTTGCTGGTGCCAGATGCTCCGTTCAGGAGTACATTCCCTCTCCTAGACTATGCAATAAGTGTTGGAAGTTCGGGCACGGTGTCCTCAAATGCACCGGTACTGTGTATCTGTGCCCCTTGTGTGGGGACAATAGTCATTCTAAGTCAGAGTGCACTTCTCCCCAGGCTCGTTGCCTCAATTGTGGTGAAGCCCACCCTACCTTCTCACGCTCATGTATGCACTACAAACTCAAGGAAGCCGTCCTCAACGTGAAGCACCGTGATCATCTGTCTTTTCCTGAAGCGAGACGCCAAGTTCGTCGTCTCGCTCCTTTCGCGGGCGTCTCCTACGCTCGCGTGTTGCGTTCTACCTCTCCTCGTCCTTCCTGTCTTCCTCAGTCTCACAACCGTTTCCAGGACTTAAACCCGACCACACCCACCACCTCCTCCCCTATTCCTTTGCCTCCTGTCCCGGATGATCGGTCTCCCCGGTTCTCCGTCTGGGATTTCCCCCCTTCCTACCCAGTCCGCCATATCTCCTTTGTCTTCTTCCCCATCTCCCCCCCACTCTTTCTTCCCGACCCTCCCCCCAGTCTCTTGACCCTCCACGCCACCTGTCTGTCCAGGCTGATATCCATCATCCTCCCAGCAATCTTCGTGTTGTTCGCTCCCGTTCCTCTTCTCCTGCTGAGACCATTGAGTCTGTCGCTCGGTACGTTGTTACTGGAACGCCTGTCTCTTTGAGCCAGAAACGTAAGCCTGGTTCCTCTCCTTCCTCTCCGGCGGGTAAGAAGGTTTCGCTTTCTTCCTCGCCCCCCTTCCCTTTGACTGTCACTACATCCCCTCCCATTTCAGTAGTCGAACCCCCTGTCTCTGATATGGCGGTTTCTTCCGCCCCCGATTCCCTCTGTTGCTGCCCTTCCTGAGGTGCACTCCCTGATTTCTGCCTCCCCCCTCCTCCAACTGTCCATGCCTGCCCCTCTCAGTTGTCCCCTCCTCCTATGGACCCCGTCAGTCCGCCTCTGGTCTGTTCTCTCGCTCCCTTCCCTCTCTCCTTACTAAGTTTACCCATGCCCCCTAACCCTGATTTTGCCGACCCTGCTCCTGATCCAGACCCTGATCCTGAGATCCTTTAGTAAACTGTGTTCCTCTTTCCCTTAATTTCTTTCTTGTTCTCTGTTACTGTCCTTTCTCCTTGATAATGTCTATTATTCAGTGGAATATTCGTGGATTTTATGCCAACGTCCATGAACTCCAACTTTTCATTACACAGTTTACACCACTTTGTGTTTGTCTCCAGGAACCAATGCTTGGTGCTCGTCCTGGTCACTTTCGTGTTTATTCCTTTCTTTCTCCCCCCAGCTCTTGCTGGGGCCCATAACTCTACTGCTCTTTTAATTCGTTCTGATATTCCCTTCGTCCCCCTACTTCTTCCGTCCCCTATCCATTGTTCTGCTGCCCGTGTTTTTGTGGGTAAATGGTATACAGTCTGTTCCATTTATATCCCTCCAAATGTCCCTCTTTTCCTTCCTGATCTTGAACACCTCCTGGACTCCTTGCCAGAGCCGGTGCTCCTTTTGGGTGATTTCAACTGTCGACATTCCCTCTGGGGTGATGTTCTGACAAACACCCGAAGCCGTCTTCTCGAACCGTTCGTCCTCGCTTCATCTCTCTCTTCTGAATTCTGGTGAGCCCACTCATGTGGACTCTCGAACTCGCACCCTTTCCTGTCTTGATCTTTCTCTCTGCTCGTCGTCCCTCTACTTAGATTTCACGTGGCAGGTTCTTGATGACCTCCATAACAGTGATCATTTCCCCATCCTCGTTTCCTTTTTCTCTTTCCACCCTCCTCTTTCCTTCCCTAGGTGGCAGTTTGCCAAGGCTGACTGGTGCCTATTCATTCTCCGTGCTACTCTCTCTGACCTCTCCTCTCTGCCTTTTCCTTGCGCCCTCCTCCTTTTTTATGACAGTCTTCAACGCTGCCCTCAGCTCTATCTCTCGCTCTTACTCCCGGGGCACACGGAAGTGTGTTTCCTGGTGGAATGTGGACTGTGCTCGGGCTGTCCGCTGTAAGCGTGCAGCCTGGAAAAAACACCGCCGCCGGCAGACGGCTGAATCTTTTATTCTGTTTCGGAAGGCATGTGCGGTGGCCAGTAGGACCATCAGTACTGCTAAACGTGAGAGTTGGAAATCTTATGTTTCCACCATTACGTCCGATACTCCTCTACCGCAGATCTGGAAGAAGATCCGCAAGATTGCGGGCAAGTTCGTTCCAGATGTCTCGCCTGTTCTCCACCTCCGTGGAAACTTGTGGCGGATCCAGTGAAGGTCGCGACCGAACTGGGTTCCCACTTTTCTTCTGTTAGCTCTGGTTCTCATCTTCCTCACTCCTTCCTTCTTCGTAAGCCTGTTCTTGAATCTTCTCCTTTAGATTTCCACACTCTTCTCCGCCTTCCCTATAACGATCCTTTCTCTCTTTCTGAACTTCGGTCTGCCCTGGCCCTCTACTGATCTATGGCAGCGGGCTCGGATGACGTTCATTATGAGATGCTTCGCCATCTCCCTCCGTGCACGTTTCAGTATTTACTGAAACTGTATAACCAAGTCTGGGAGTCATCGTCTGTCCCTGAGGACTGGCTCGATGCCGTTGTACTCCCTATTCGGAAACCAGGGTCTCTCGGTACGTCCCCTAAGGACTTCCGCCCTATTGCTCTCACGAGTTGTGTTTGCAAGCTGTTTGAGCGTATGATAAATGTCCGTCTGATGTGGTTCTTGGAACACCATCACCACCTCTCTCCTTCTCAATTTGGTTTTCACAAGTGCCGCAGCACGACAGATGTCCTGGTAAAATTGGAGGTCTATATTCGTACTGCTTTTGCTGCGAAGACCTCCATTGTTGCTGTCCTTTTTGACCTGGAAAAGGCTTATGACACGACTTGGAGATACCATATTCTGTCGCAACTTCGTTCTTTTGGCCTTCGTGATAATCTCCTTCTCTTCCTTCAAAGCTTTCTCTCTCGTCGTACCTTTCGAGTCAGGCTTGGTGCCACT